AGGGAATGTAGCCCCTACCTGGCCTTAGGAGGCAAGACAGTAGTTCTCAAAGTGTGGTCCCCAGAGCAGCATCACCAGGAAATTTGTTAGAAATGCTGATTCTCAGAGCCCACCCCAGACCTACTGAATCAGCCATTGTGTGGGTGGGGAGCATCATGTTTTTATAAGCCTTCACGCCGATTCTGAGGCACACCCAAGTTTGAGAACCATTGGTCCAAGATAATTCCCCTGACTGAGGATTGGTGGGGGCAGGGCCATGTGACCCAATTCTGTGAGGCAGAGACTGCTATATGTCCCCCACTATCCATGCCCCTCCTTTTTCTATAAAGGAATTATTAGCTGGGCACATGGACACTCAGAATAGAAGACTATTTCCCAGCCTCCTTTGCAGTTAGGTGTTTCCATGGAAACAAGTCCCGGCCAATGGGATATGAACAGTAGAACTTTGTGCTGCTTCCAGATCATCCCTTTAGAGGGAGGAGCTGTGCTCTCCTCTGGCTCAGTTTACCCTTCCTACTGGCTTGACTGCAGCTGTGTCGAGAGCCAGCTTGAAGTTGAAAGCAAAACCCTAGCCTGGTGGAGCAGCGAGACAGGAAGCCCCTAGGTCCTGGACACATGGAGCTGCTATACCTGCCCTGGACTGCTTATGTGATGGAAGAGATCAACTTCTATCACGTTTAAGCCACTGTTATTTGGATCTTTGTTAGAGCTGAAATATATCCTGGCTAATACATCTGACCCCTAGATTCCGAAGGGAAGTCTTTTGAAGAATCTCTGGGAAAGGTTTTCCTTCTCGATAAAAAGACACACAAGAAGGGGAAACCCTTGGCCTCATCAAGGGTCGATAGCATCAAAACCAGAATAATGATGAGTAGTATCATGTCTGTATTGGTCCTACAACTGCTACAGCCCTCTTGCCAGCTGTGTTAGTTTGCTAGGGCTCCCATAACAAAATACCACAGACTGGGTGACTTAACAGAAATCTATTTTTTCACAGTTCCGGAGGCTAGAAGTCCAAGACCAAGGTGTTAGCAGGACTGGTTTCTTCTTTTTTTTTTTTTTAGAAGAGGCTGCTTACCTCTCCTCAATTGTTATTACAGAGATTTGCTTACTTAACATTTACATACTTAACACTTAAACTATATTCAATGCTTGACTTTTTCTCTTAACAAATTTGATGAATTATTAATAAAGTCCCATTTATTCTAAAATCCAAGGAAACTTCAAACTCATTCATGAGATATTTATTAAAATAACACATTTAGGGAAAAAAATCAATACAATTGTATACATCATTACTGAAAACTGTATACCATCATACAAAAAAGGATTTTATTTTGGGAAATCAATTCCTAATTTATGGCAAGTTTTACTTTCAGAAATAAAACCACAAAACAACACAATCTAATTCAATCTTAAAGGCTGGCATGCTGAGCAAGGAATGTTCTTATTCTTTGTAGGAGCTCCTTCTTTACACTGTCAGGTACCAGGGCTCTGCCTTTTGGTGTGATTTCAGCCACCAAGTCATCAACAGTAACGTGTTCTAGTCCTTTTTCTTTAATTACCTCTTTACAGTGTGCCTTCAACTGATCCTTCCAGCCACTTTCAATTAATTTAGCTCTCAGCAACTCTTTGAGGCGTTCTCTTTCTCCAGTTTCTATCAACTTTTGGTTAATTGCTGCTCTCATCTGCGCATCTTTGTTCATCTTGCTAACCACACTCTTCGGCTGCCCGGACCTAGGACTGGTTTCTTCTGAGGCTCTCTCCTTGGCTTGCCGATGGCAGCATTCTCACTGTGTCCTTACATGGTCTTTCCTCTGTGTGTGTGCGCCCCTGGTGTCTGTGTGTTCAAATTTCCTCTTCTTATAGGGACACCGATCAAGTTAGATTAGAACCCACACTATGGCCTCATTCTAACATAATCACCTCTTTAAACGTCTTCTCTCCCCAACAGCCACATTCTGAGGTACTGGGTGTGCGGGCTTCAACATATAAATTTTGGGGGGCGAGGGGGACACAATTCAGCCTATAACACCAGCAAAGCAGAAGATGTAAGGAACTTGATGCCATTTTTGAGCTGCTCAATTAACCAGCCCTAAAATCACTTACCATTGGGCTTTGTCTTGAGAGATAATAAATTTCCCTTATGTCTAAGCCACTTTTGATCGGATAGTCTATTCTTGGTAGCCAAAAGTGTCGCATCTCATGCAATGAGTTCCCTCTGCCTGGAGCGACCTTCCTGTCCATACGCCCTTCAAAGCCTGGCTTGAATGCCACAGGCTTGGTGAATGGCTCCTGATTCTACCTTCCCCAAACAAGTCGCTTGCCTTGTATCAGAGTTCTTTGCCTGTGTGTCTTTCTCTGTCACCAGTTTAGGGGTCAGCATATGCACTGTACACCAGCTGCCACATTCCCCACCCAACCACCATCCGATGGCAATCCCTTTTTCATTGGGAGTAGATCTGGTTTTTCTAATCAGCACTCCAGGGCAGCCCCTGCCAATCAACTGGAGGTGGCTCAAAAGAGGTGAATCCTATTTGCCACAACTGTTAAGTCTTGAGGGCATGGACTTTGTTTTACTCACCTCTTTTTTGATTCACAAGCAACTTTATTAATAAGTGTTACCACTGTATGCTTCTGATCCCATTTAATCCCTGCAGCAGCCTTCTGAGGCAAGCACCATCATTATCCTGCTTTTGACACACGAGACTCTGAGACTCCAAGAGAAACTACTGGTTCAAGGTCATACACATTTGAACCTAGGTCCACCTGTCTCCGCCCATTTCCACTGACCGCGTACTAACCACTTGATCTTGATCTGTTCATGGCCCTGGAGTGTGCACTGCAGGGAACACAGAGATAGTTTGCTCTTCCTAGTGGCATTCAGAACACTTCTTGTCCTGTTTGAGATTCCCAGCAGTCCAGTGATGTTTGGAGTTATTCCAGGAATAATAGACATCCCCATTTTACAGATAGGGAAACTGAGGCTCAGAGAGAAGAAAAGGCTTGCAAAAGTCAGTCATGGGGGACTTCCCTTGGCGGTCCAGCGGTTAAGACTTCACCTTCCAATGCAGTGGGTGCAGGTTCAATCCTTGGTCACGGAGCTAAAATCCCACATGCCTCGTGGCCAAAAAATCAAAAAAACATAAAACAGAAGCGATATTGTAACAAATTCAAAAAGACTTTAAACATGGTCCACATCAGGAAAATCTTCAAAAAAAAAAGTCAGTCTTGGAGGTGCCAAAGCAAGAGACCACCTTTCATTCCCTGCTGCCACTCTGAGGGTGGGAATTCAGGACCTGCTCAGGGGTTAACTGGGAGTTTGATGTCTGGGGCAGTCAGGGATTGGGTAGCACATCCTGGCCTCTTCCTGTTGGCCCCGGGGGCGGGGGGGCGGGCTGAGGGAGATCTCACTTCCTGCTGTTGGGCGGTGACTGGCAGGATGTAGGGGAGCGGGTGGGGGTGGCTGTATGAGCTAGCACTAAGCAGCCTGGGCCATTTCCCCACCCCCGAATGAGGGAGGGAGGGGAAGAGGGAAGGCTGGTGTCTGGGAGTCTCTGTCGGCTCTCACACCCAGAGGCAGTGGGGAGCTCTGACCCTCACTCCCACCGGCACTAACCTGGAACACCCAGGCTTTTAGAAAAAACTCAAAACAATCCTATGCATTGGCCCCTGCACTTCATAATTTCCAACTGCCTTCTTATGCACAGCCTGATGTCTTTCCTGCCATGTCTCTAACTGCAGGACAGGGTTTGGGGGATTATTGTTCCCGTTGGAAAGATGAGGAAACTGAGGCCCAGGGAGCTTACAATAAGCAACCTCCCTGGATCATACAGCAAATCAGTTCCGGGACTTAGGTCTCCAGAACCCAGGGGTCATGGCAAGGTAAGAAGGGGTCAGTCAGAACCTTTCCAGCTGTCCTGCGTGGGCCACACAGAGGGCATAGGCCCTAGAGGAAAGAACCAGGCTTCAGATCAGAGCCAGACCCAGCAGATATCCCAGGTCCTCCTCTCATTCACTGTGTCCCCTCCTTGGGTCAGCCTCTGCAATTGAGCCTGTTTTAAAAATCTGTATAACGATAGTACCCCAATATTGTGAAGAATAAGTGAGATGAAATATGTAAAGTGCTCAGTCCAGAGCCACAAAGGGAACCTTGCCTCTCTAATATTATTCTCTCAAGAGACAGTAAAACAGCCCAGGACACACAGACACACAGGTAAAGAGTTAATATTTATTGAGTACCTCACATGTGCCAAGAGCCTTTCTAAGTGCATTTAATTCTTACAAGGTCACAAGGCTGGTATTATGCCCATTTTACAGATGGGGAAATGGAGGCACAAGAGGTTACAGACCCAAGGTCATAACCCTAGTAAGTGACAAAGCCAGGATTCAAACTCAAACAGCCTGTCTCTAAAGCCCATGCATACGACCTCCCTTAATAGTAATGATTAATTTTTAAAATCATTACTTGCTCAGACACAATATTTCATAGTTTATGAAGCATTTTCCCACCCACTTCCATTTATTTCTCACCACACCAGCCCAGAGAGGAAGGCAATGTTTACTCCTAATTTATAAAGGGGAGGGGGAAACTGAGGCTGTGAAAGGGGGAACTAACCTGCCTTGCCAAGGTCACACAGCAAGGTCGGTGGCAGAAGAGGGGGTGGTATTTAGGACTTTCCAACTCCAAATTCAGGGGACCATTCCCAGCCTTACTCAACTCCCAAGCCCCCTAAATAGCAAGCCTGCTGGCTGCAGGCCTTGGGGGCTTTCTCCCCAGGCCAGTTGCTCTGGCTGGGCTTCCACTGTTCAGCTGGAGGGTCCCAAGGCTGCGTCCTCCACCCACCCCACACCCCACCGCTCACTATCAGATGGGAGGGGCAGGAACTCTGGGACTGGTGGAGTTTCCGAGGCAGGAAAAAGAACAAAGGAACTGCATGGGGGGAGAAGGTGGAGGGGGGTGGCCAGGAGGGTGGCAGGAGTGGAGGGGACACTTCACCATGGAATATGAAGTCAAGAAAGGGAAAAAGGTAGGTGGGAGGTTGGAAGGGGTGCGGGGTAGAGAAATGTCCCCGGAGTCGGAGAAGTGGGAAGCCTGGGGGGAGGAGGGGGGTGATGGGCAGTGAGTGGCGTCAGGAGAGCCTTTCTTCTTGTTAGGAAAGACCTTCCTCCCCAACCTTGGGCAGCCAGACATTTGGACTCAAAATTCCCTAACCCGTCTCCCTGCTCTCAGTGGCCTGTGCCATCCCAGGAATGGACAGACAGACAGGCACCTTCCAGGAAAATCCAGCCAGTCAGATTAGTTTGGGAGATATTCTCAACCTGCTTCCCTGGTGTTCCTGGGGGTTCCCTCCTGCAGCTTCTCAGACTGAGGGGCAGATTGACAGCCACCCAACAAACCCATTCCCCTGCTCCCTGCCTCCCCAGACAGAAGGACCTCAGCCAGGGCAATTCTGTGCTATGAGGCTGCCTATCCAGGCTCGAGACACCTGCCTGCTCCCCCCTCGCTGGGTTCCAACTGAGCCTGCCCCCTCCCTACCTTTATACAGGGCCCAGTTCTGCTCCAAAGGCCTCAGCCTGGGGGTCATTCCCCCCACCCCTAGACCTTTACCCCTTCCTGACTCTCAGATATTTTCTAGTCTGGTTCTCTGGGCATCGCACCTGTTTGTCTTTGTGGTCCAGGGAGCCTCTGGGATTCCAACTCCTACCCCCACCCCCACTGAGCCCTCTTCCCCCAGGAAACCTAGATCCAGCTGTTTGAAAAGACTCCCACATGAACTGTGAGGGCTCCGAAGGGAGACAAGACATAGGTGCTTGTTCTCTCTTGGTTCATTCCTTCTATAGATATTTATTTATCCAGCACCTATTATGTGCCAGGCACTGTGCCTGGTGCTGGTGATGATGCACTTGGTGAGCAAAGTCAGACAAGGTCCCTGCTCCCTCCCTGAAGCTCACATTCTAGTGAGGGAGACAACTATTAATTAAAAAAAACAAACAAACAATTAATGTAAAACTGTACAAAAGTCTCCGTACACAGTGCTGGGGGACAGAATATTAAGGGACCCAGCCCTAGACTGGTCAGTTTGAGCTGAGATCTGATGGGTGGAAGGAAAGAGGACAGGGAAGAGTGTTTCCGGCAGAGGAACAGCATGTGCAAAGCCCCATGGTAGGAAGGAGTGTAGCAAGTAGGAAGAACTGAAAGATGGCCCTATAGCTGGAGGGCAGGAGTTAGGGGCAGTGTGGGGTGAGATGAGGCTGGAGAAGTGGGCAGGGGTGGACCACTGAGGGCCACAGACAAAGCATTTACCTCCCCACTCCACTCACATATACACACATACTGCCATATACAGGATAAAGTCCTGGCTCCACAGCTGGCATTCGAGCCCTCTATGACTTGTTCATCTTGTCATTCAGCCACAGCTACAACACACCTTCTCCAGGCTCGCGCTCGCCCTTGCAGCCCCCATTGTTTTGCACATGCTGTGCCCTCTGCTTGGGAGGCCCGTTCCCACATCGCTTGTTCTCATTTCTCAGAGCTTCCACATTCTTCATCCAGGCTCCATGATACTGTTTTATTTTATTTTATTTTATTTATTTATTTATTTCATGATACTGATTTTAAAACTTGAGCTGGGCCTGCAGGAGAATCACCTGGAGCGCTTGTTAATACACAGATCATTGGGTCTCATCCCAGGTTCTGATCCAGTAGGTTTGGGATGGAGCACAAGAATGTAGATTTCTCTCAAGTTCACAGGCGATGCTGCTGCTACTGCTGGTGGAGACCCAGGAACCACACACTGAGAACCACTGCTCTAGAGCAGTGCTCACACTTTCCTGGGAGTTTAAATTCTGTTGGGATGGGCTGGGGCCCTGAAATTTGCTCCTTTAATCTTGATCCAGGCCATTTTTATGCAGGTGCCCACTGGATTAAACTTCAAGGTACCTGTTAACCATTTCTAATATTTAGGAAAGCACAGAAAATAGCTTAAATACCTATGCACCCGCCACTCAGCCACACTGAATGTTAATATTTTTCTGTACTTGCCCCAGCCTGGGTGGGGGTTCCTTAAACCTCAGCCTGGGCCTGCACAGGGCTTCCACCCTCACCTGCGTGTTTAGAATGGAAGGTTTGGAGCCAGACTGCCCAAGGTGAACTGTTGGTTCTACCGCTACTAGCTGGTGACCTTATTAGCTAGCTCCCTCTCTGAGGCTGTTTCTCCACCTATAAAATGGGAATCATAGAGCTACCCCCTCTGCAGAGTTTCCGTAAGAATTAAATTAGGTAATGTAAGTAAAAGGCTGCACATGTAAGTGCTGAATATGATCAAGTCAGTTGCTGTTATTACTGTTCTTCCCCCCCACGCCCCCGCCTCCCCCAGGGCTTCGTGTCCCCCATCCGGAGGCTGGTGTTCCCGAAGGCTGGGCGCCGGGCAGCCTTTCGAAGCAGTGTGAGCCGCCGGCCCCTGCATTCGATGCCCCTTTATCCCCCTGACTACCTCATCGACCCCCAGATTCTGCTGTGTGACTATCTGGAGAAAGAGGTCAAGGTACTTTGGGGATGAGCAGGAGGGGTGGGAAGAAGCTTGAGATAAGGGGCTGGGGGGGAAGTTTTCCTCAGCCCTCTTAGGCTACCTGGCTGGATCTGAAAATTAAACTGAACAAAGATTAACAGGAGAAAAGCACACACATTTTATTAAATTTTCACATGTACATGAGAGCCTTCAGAAGAGAATGGAAGACCCTGAGAAGTGACCAGAGCAGGAAGCTTTTATACTTTTTGACAAAGAAACAATAAATCTGTGAAGAATAGACAAGGCAGAGGGGTTTGGAGGGGGTTGGTAAATGGTGAAAGAGGAACAGGGTTTGTTTATACAGACTTCTCGGCCATACAGACTTCTCGGCCTTCAATTCCCTGTCCCTGGTGATAAGGATGTCTCCCTTCCTACTGGTACCCTGAAAGGAGGGTACCCTTCACCAGGGAGATTTATCGCCTGCTTTCAGGGAAGATGGGTGAGGTGGGGGGAGGTTAGAGTGACCTTCCTGCTTCTGCTGTTTTCTCATACTCCTTCAGCTTAAGATATTCAATGTGCCAAGGTGCCATATTTTAGGGAGGCATGTTCTGGATCCCATCAGGAAAGACCTTACCTCTCCCCCACACCAAACCCTGACCAGTCCTATCTCACACAGGGGAGGCTCAGGGGAAAGGGGCCTGGGTTCAAGGCAGCCTTGCCCCTGAATTATGCTGGGGACCCTCAACAAGCGACCTCCACCTGATCAGCCTCAGTGTTGCCATCTCAACACGGGGCTCAAAGCCTACCCCAAGGGGAGAGCAGATGGGAAGGTGCTCTGTGCACCAAAAAGCTGGACCGTCCTGTGAGATTTTACTGCAGTGACGTTGCTGCTAGTTGGACAGTGTCCAGCTTAAAGGAAGCCAGTTCTGCAGGCCACATGGACTTAGGCCAACTCAAGGGCTTTACTTCTATTTCATGAACACCATGAAGGAGCAGTGGAGAATCCTCACTACCCAATAAAGACTGATATGGGGGTAGTAGTGTCAGATTTAGTAAAAAACAGGCACCCAGTTAAGTTTGAATTTTGGTGGGGGGAGGGATAAATTAGAGTTTGGGATTAACAGATACACACTACTATATATAAAATAAATAAACAACAAGGACCTATTGTATAACACAGGGAACTATATTCAATATCTTATAATAACCTATAATGGAAAAGAATCTGAAAAAGAATATGTATTTGAATCACTTTGCTATATACCTGAAACTAACACTGTAAATCAATTATATTTCAACAAAAAAAATTTTTTTAATTTAAATTTCAGATAGGCGATGAGAACTTTTTTAGTATTGATATTAGTTGTTTATGTGAAAACCAAGTTTAACTGGCATCTTGTATTTTACCTGGCAGCCCTATATGAAGAGAAAAGCTAACAAACAAATCCACTTAAAAAATTAGGAACAAATTTCATAGAGAATAAAAAGAAAAGAAATGGTATGATTGGTAGAATCACCTAGAAGAATAAAACTAAAAATATTTTTAAAAGTTAATTCTTATATTAAATAACATTTAAGTGTGATAACATTAAGCTATAACTAAGAATGAATGAAGAATTAATTTACTATTAATTTAATTTGGGGCATCATTTTTCTGACAAAATCATATACTAATTGGATACAACATTCTTTCCTTTCCATTTGACTTCTGCAACAAGATCATGAAGAGGGCCAGTGACCTGCACAGTCAGTTGTCACTGGTGCTTGGGGTGCACAGAGCCACTAAGGCCAAGCAGGAAATTCAAGCTATTCTAATGACTTTTGTTTCTGCCATAGCTAAATAACTATGTGCTCATAAAAATAAGCTTATGTTAGCAAAAATAAGCTAGCAGTGAGAGTATGGACTCTGGTGTGTGGAGTCCAGTTCTGCCCTTTTTAGCTCTATAATATTGGGCAGGTTATTTGGCTTTGCTGTGCCTTAGTTTTCTCATCCTTAAAGCGATGATGAATGAGTGCATAAAACTCTCAGGACTATGCCTGGCTCCTACGATGGCTTTAATAACAGTTATTATCAGGCTATTATTATTAATTCAGATATTTTTATCTCAGTCTACCCGCACTGTGTCAGTGAGGAGGTCAGGGTCCTCCAAGGCTTCAGGGAGACCTCTCTGTGCCTTTTTCCCACCACCACCACCCCCGCCCCATTTCCATCCAGTTCCTGGGCCACCTCACCTGGGTCACCTCCTCACTGAACCCCTCCAGCCGCGACGAGCTCCTGCAGCTGCTGGACACGGCCAGGGTGAGGCTCCGGGAGAGGGGAGGGCAGGGTCTGGTCCCCTACCTCTCCCACCCGAGGCCCCTGGGACTCAGGAGATCCGACCCACCCCGCAGCAGCTGAAGGAGCTGCCGCTGAAGACCACGGCGGAGCAGGACAGCATCCTGAGCCTGTCGGCCCGCTGCCTACTGCTCACCTGGCGCGACAACGAGGAGCTCATCTTGCGTATCCCCACGCACGAGATTGCCGCTGCCTCCTACCTGCAGGACGACGCGCTGCACCTGCTGGTGCTTAAGACCGGTACGGCAGGCGGGGCCTGGCAGGGCGGGGCGGGGGAGGTGAAGGAGTGGAGAAAGGGCCCAACACCTAGTCTTGGGCATGGGCGTGACCTGGGGCAGAGGCGGGGCCTGAGGCTGGATAATTGGGTGATGGAAAGACCTGACCAAACTACCCTGAGACTAGGTACAGGACATGGCTGTTTGCGAGAAGAGGAAGCCCAAGGTTGAGGCTTGAAGGGGGGGCGGCCTGACCCACCATTTTCGAAACGGTGGAGAAGCCAGAATCCTGAGGCCTGAAATTAAAGGGCGTGATGAAGGGTAGCAAGGCTCTGAGGTTAGGGGGGAACCTGCGGCAGAGGCGGAGTCTCATCTAGTGAAGGGGCCATACACTGGGGAGGCGGAGCTCGCGGCTGGGGTATCTTGGTGGGAGATGTCAGACCCTGCCATACTAGGGGCGGGGCCTGAGGCCAGGGGAGGGGTTGAAGGGAAGCCGGAAGCCAAGGAGGTGTTCCTGAAACCCGGGACAGGGTCCGAGTTAAGGGTAAAGAAGGAGGGGACAGCCTGACCACTACTCTCAGACCAAACGGCAGCGTCTGGGAGGCCAGGGGCGTCGGAATGGGGTAGGGCGGGCGGGAACTGCCAAACCCAGGGGTGGAGCCTGAGGGTGGGGCGGGACCCAAAAGTAAGGACCCGTAGTGGGGCGGGGTCCGGCCTCCTGACTTTGAAGCCAGGGGTGGAGCCTGAGGGTGGGGGCGGGGCCGGGGCCAGACACGGCTGGACCCCTTCTCCCCCCAACCACCCCCGCAGCGGCGGGGTCAGGACACCCAGCTGGCCTCGGGAGAGGGCTCTCAGCCCGGATCTCCTGCTTCTGACGGTCACCCGGCCTTTCCTAGGTCTGGGCGTGGACCCGGTGCCAGCCGGAGTAGACGCCAGCCCCGGCGGCGCGGGGCGTGACCCGGGCCCGCCCGGGGCGGCACCCGAGAAGCGGCGGGTGGGCGCCACGGAGCGGCGCCACACCATCTGCAGCCTTGACTGGCGGATGGCGTGGGGCGGGAGCGCGAGCGCCGAGGCCCGGGCGGGGGGCGGCGGCGGCGGCAGCCTGGAGCGCCAGCGCGCCGGGGCGCGGGCGTCGGGCAGCTGGGAGCGGCGGCAGACGGTCAGCGGCA